AGTTGCTCTTCCACAGCTCCATGCGCGCGTTGAGCCTGTGCGGCTTCCAGTCGACGTCGAATCGCGGGCAGTCGGTGTCGAAGCCGAGGTGGAAGCGCCGCCCATGGTCGATGTGGGCGATGAGCGTCGTCGGCGCGCTGAAGAGAGGCTGTCCAGACCACGGATACGGCAGCGAGCGACCGTCGAATGGGTCGACGCGGTCGCGGTCGCCGCATGGCAGCGTCTCGGCGGCGGTCATGAGCACGATCGCCGCCACCGCAAGCGGGCCCATGCAGGAGCCAGACTCCTCGCCGTCGCTGTCGGGCGTGGTCTCGGCCCGGTTCTTGCGGTCGCAGCTGTTGACTGCTCGATACGACCGGTTGTTGAGGAAGGCGACGACGTCGTCGCCGGCAGCATCAACGTCGGAAAGCCGTCGGCGTTGAGCTTGAGGGCGAAGGGGTGGCGCCGCTGGTACGGCACCACAAAGTCCCGCAGAAAGGTGGGGATGAGCGGGCGAGTGCGCTCCCACACGTCCAGCTCCACCGCCTTCGGACGCTGACGAGGCCCAGCCTCAAAGACCCACGTCTCGCGCAGACCGGCCAGCACATCGAAGGCAGCGTCGTCGCCGTGAAGGAGGTTGTCGACCGCCTCGATGCGAGCGTGATCGGCAGGGTCGTCGCCGTCGCCCTTGTTGTAGCGGGCCGAGGCGAGGTCGAGCGGGCGCAGGCGGTCGCAGAAGTGGCCAGTCGCCTGCAGCGTCGGCCACGCATCGAGGCCGTGACCCTACCCCACGCTAGGATATTGCTCAATGGTGAGAAGCTCAAACGACGGCCTCGGTATGGATGCTACGAATCAGCGGGCCGTCCGTGCGACGCTCCACTCAACTTTGAGTCTCTCTTCAAGCCATCACTGCGTTCAATCACGGTATGGTGCGGGACGTTTCATTGACACATTCAGGACTAGTCTACCTGCATCCACGTTGGACTCTGTTCGCTCCGCATCAGATCCGCACGTTGAGAGACTGGACTTGCATCTTGACGAGGTAGAGCGCGCGCGAGAGGGCCTGGGCGTTGGCAATCGCCGGATGCTTTTCGGCGGGATTCCCATGGGTAAATTGCTGCTGCAGGATGGGGTTGGGTGAAGCAGTGGGTATGGACCCGGTCGCAGCGGAAGCAGCGGAAGCGGATGTCGGAAAGCCCGACATGAAAGGCCACTGAAAGTTCAACGGATCGCTAGCGCCGTCTTGCACAGATCCTGCGTCGTTTCCGGGGTTGTTGTGTCGTGCTCGAGTCGAGTCGTGTTGACCGTCTCCGCGCGAGTCGGGATCGTCTCCGCGCAAGTCGGCACCCGAGGCGGATCGCTTGATGCCGCCTCTGTGGAAGCTCTGCTCGACTCCGTTGTCGCCAACTGCGGAATGGAACGAGTGGCTGGTGATGCGAAAGACGTAGAGCTGGACGAACTTCTCGGTGACTTCCAGCAGCGAGTCGGCCTCCTTGGCCATGAGAAAAGTCTCTCGACGCTGCACGAGCATGAGGAGCAGGCCGGCCGCGTGGCCGAGCAGCCAGTGGTAGAACTGCGGAAGATACGACAGCTTTTCGCCAAACTCGGTGGTGGCGAGCTTGAGCGCAAAGAGAGCCGAGTGCTTTGCGGTCGAGATGGTGCGCAGCTGGGCGACGGCGAGCCGCGAAAAGTTGGGCGGATTCGAGTTGGAGGCGGCCTTGAGCGCGTGCTGTGTTTCGTCCAAGATGCCCACGTCGGGGTCCAGCGGATGTGATGCCAAAAATGTGCGCGAGAGGTGGTAGAGGAGCGAGAGGTCGACCGATTCGAGCGAGCTGTCCGACAGGTCGGAATGCTGCGAGGTGAGCAATCGCCACCGATTCAGCTCCTCGAGCCATTCCCGCCATCGCTCGACCATCTGTGATGCATGGTTTGGCGCGGCGTCTGGCTGCGATGCGGGCCCGTTTGACCCCCGTGAAGGCTCGTCGGTCGAGGCCGCAGCGGAGCGCGCCGAGCGGTGCAAATCTTGAGCTGCGAGCAGGATCGACATCATGCGGGCATGCGCGACCAGCTGACGGTCGGACGCCAGCGAGCTCATCCCTCCCGCGCCGTCATTGTACGCGGCAGGGGCAGCGGCAGAGTAAAAGTGGCTCGAGTTGGGCGTGCCGATACTGCCCTTGAGCGGCTGATTGGGTTCAGCAGAGCCTTCGTTTTTTGCGAGCGACTCGGCGATCTCCACGCTGTGGCTGCTGGCATTGAGGAGGCCTTGACAGTAATGCGCGGGGTCGCTCACGGGGAACAAGCTCGGCGTGTCATTGATGACGGCCTGCTGTGCTTCGGTGATGTACGACATGAGCCAGATCCGCAGTTTGCCTACGAGATCGATTTGGCGGAAAGGCGGCAGAATCGTCATCCACTCGCCGAGCGTCTGTGCGGAGCGCACTTCAAAATGCTCGAGGTAGCCAATGGCCCAGTAGCGTGCCAAGCGCGCTACGGACAGTGCGGTCTGACCACCGAGCCAGCACGCGGCGATGCAAGCGCCCGTGATCTCCTCGACGCCGATCCCGAGCTCTGGGTCGAGGGGAGCCGAGCGATCGATGGGCTGATCGAGCAAGAGAGGCGAGGAGAAGGCCTCGTGTCGGAGGCGCTCGAAAAGCTTGCGAGAGTTGGGCTCGTGCATCGCGGATACCATGAGGATGCATGCGATGATGAGCGGCGTCATGTGTTCGTTGGCCGGGTAGGCCGGAAATCCAAAGCAGTGAGGCTGCAGGTACCTTGCGAAGAACTTGAAGAGGTGACGCGCGTGGCCCATCGACACGAGGCCCATCGAGATGACTGTGAGTCGAGGATCATTCCGCCCTATGCGATTCGTGGGTGTAGCGTAGGGCGAGTCGAATGCTGGCTGGTGCGCTGAAGCGGGATGCTGCCTCGGCTCGGCGGCGTGTTCGTACGAGTGAGCAGCATAGATCAACGAGGAAGGGCGGGTCTGACCGGGCTCGAGCGTCGGCGCGTGGTGCGCTTGCCGCACGTTCGACCGTTTTGATCGAGGAGTTGAGCTAGATGGATCCGGCCCAAAGCGGCCTGCAGAAGACGAATGTATTGACGTGCTTCCCGGGTAAAATGACAGCGAGCCGTGGTTCGCGGCCGGCAGCGGAGGCGACGGAGGGTATGGATTGCGAAGCGGCCGAAACGACTGTGCACTGGCAGGCGGGGAGCGGTAGGCTCGATTCGTTGGTCCAAAGTTGGAAGACGAGGGGGATGAAACACTGCGCGGATGCGAGTCGCCGGGGCTCAACAGACCTGCCGCACCATCGAAGCCCAGATAAGTAGTGGACGAGGGCCGATTGTGAAAGCCTGCGGGATTGTGATGCAGCAAGGGGTCGGACGGGTCCGGCGTGTCCGCAGACGCTCGGCTCTGAAGAATGTTTGCGGGTCGCATTGAGGTCGGAGGCGGTCGATACATAGGAGCGTGTGCCTGTGCCTTTCGAGGGGAAGGTGCGGACATCGGGGAGCTGCTGGAGCCAATCGCGTCGGATCGACGGTGGTCATCGTGGCTTACGTGTTGCAGTTGTTGTTGTGATTGCTGCTGCGATTGCTGCTGCTGCTGTTGCCTCTGCTGCTGTTGCACAAGCCATTCGACGCTCTCTCCCAGCCTCGACAGGACGTCATCAGTCCTCTCGCGCCACGACTCGTCGTCCGCTCGTAGACGAAACTTGCACTGAGCTTCTTGATTGGTGTCTTTGCAACGCTTGCAGGGTGGAGCTCCGTCGTGGATGCATTTGACTTTGGAGCGGCGACAGAGCACGCAGGCTTTTTGGGGCTTGACTTCGATGTGCGGGAGGGATGCGAGCGCAGCGCTTTCTCGCGGGGCTGCTTGACGCGGAGAGGCCGCAGAATGCGGCGAAGCAGACAGCGCTCCGTCGGAATGCGAGGCGGCTGCTTTCGCTTGCGATTTGGGTTTGGGCGGCATGGTAGAGAGCAGCGAGGTCTGCCCACTGACTGCCAAGCAGATGTGAACCTGCCGGTCTTGCCAGACCGAGACGAACGAAGATAAAGGCACCAGGAACAATGGTAGTACGCCGAGTGGAGCGAGTCACCGCACAGACACTTGGCCGTAATTCCGTGATTTCAGGGTCGTTCCTCCCGAGCCGAACCACGTCCCGACTTCCGATGCAGTCGAATCCGGAAGTGCGAACTCCCCCTCGATGTCCGCGCGGAAGTGGCTCGAGCCGCTTCAACAGATCAGAATATCAGCTCAGGCTCCCACGCGGAACGCCCGACGTTGTGCAATCACCTGCAAAACGGATCACAGTGCTTGTACTGACGCCGCCTGCCTTCGGCGCCGTTCCGCTCTGGAGACACCCTGATTTGCATCACTGAACAAATCAAGCTTTGACTCCGAATGCTGAGCCTGTGTCGGCCGCATCGCCCAGCCCCGCAATTCGCCTCAGACGTCAGAGTAGTGTGTGAGTGACACAGGGTGACAGAGATCATCCTCGACACAAGGCTTGACTGGGATCTCGCAAAGCTTGTCTCTTGTGTGAATTCTGTGATCCGCCCATTGCACACAGCCTCTACAACAGCCATGGCTGGTCCCACACGGTTCGTCTTTCGGACACGGCAGCAAGTCACATTCCGAAAGGCTGGCAGTCTGATTTGGCAGGACCCATGTGATGTACTACTGTTCTGTATTGATAGAATCATTGAGCAACAGGTTTCAACAAAAGACGAGACGGAAAGCTCAGCGGACGGAATGTTCCAGGTCGTTCAGCCGAGTCGTCCACAGAGGAGGAACGAGCCGGATAGTTATGACAAGGTTGATGCAACGACACGAGGTCGCAAAATTCGCTGCTGTGGCCCAGTTTGTCCCGTCACAGAAGATGTGGGTTTCATCATCTAATGGACTCTTTAAAGGGCAGGATACTCAAAGGAGAGGGGGTGGCAGGAGGAGCGGAAGGGAAAGGGGAGAGAGCGGGAGGATGGCGGAAGCGGCTGATCACGATGGCGAGACTTTGCGAATACGGCCCGCAAGGCAATCTTTCACAGGTCATAGAACCACAGGCGAGGGAAAGAAGATTCGAAGGTGAGCCGAAGCGCGGCCGTTTGGTGGTTTGGATGCTTGGGTGGTGGTGGGAAGAAGGGACAGACACGCGCCTTTGACCCGCGCGACTTTCTTTCCTCCTCCTACCGCAGTCGGAAGAGACAGAAAAGAAAAAAAAGAAAAGAGAATCGGATCATTTCTCCTCTTCTGGGAGCTTCATATACGCCGCCTCGGCCATGGACTGGTTGTCAGGGTCTTTAGCTCAGCAGTAGAGCGGCAG